ACAAAGTAAACATTGGTGATAAAATTATGGCAAACAGGAAAAAAAACCAAGAAAAGTGCACTAATATAAAATAAATGTAGGAGAGGAAGAAAAGCAAATGATGGAATTAAGGTTTAATGGCAGTAATGGTAACATTAGTGGTGACAGCGATCAGAAATAGAAGACAAAAATCCCATTATCCTTTGCAGTTTGAAATTGCTGAAGCCGATAGGTAATAGACATTAGATTATAATTTGTGTAGTTCAAAGTTGTTCAATCGTACATTTTTTTGCACTACAAGTTAAATAAAAATTCAATTTTTATCACTTCACAAAAGCGCAAATTGCTTCATTTTTATAACTGCTTATTTAAGAAAAATTGAAGAAAAAAAGAAAGAAGAAAAAAATTGCAGTTCTAAAGCAATGACTTCCGGGAGTGAATTGAAAAAGAACGAAGAAAAAGCCAAATTTGAAACTGAAAAAAGTTTTATTACAAAAGCTATTTGAAAATAAATTATCTGCTTGAAAAAATAACTAAGTGACCTATTTTTTCTTTCCTTTTTTTATTGTTTTTACTCAGTTTTTATGCGCTGCAATATATGTGATGTCAATAGCGTTCTGTTCGTCTTTCTTCCTTCTGAATGCCAGTGACATAAATTTTAGATTTTGGTTGTTTTAATTTTTATCCTATATCAATCTTGCTCAAAAGAAAGTAATCAAGGCATTTCAGACAGGCGAACGTAAAGACCAATAAGTTCTATTAATTCGTTTGTACCGCTCTGTAATAATCGTACATATCAGCTCTTAATATGCTGCAAGTCTTTGTTTCAACAAAATCTCACTACCCCTCTGTACATCCTTTTCCACTCTTCTTCCTGCCAAACTTTTAAATTCTTGCACGCCTTGTTCTAATTGTTGCTATTCCTCCGGTTTTCCAAATTCTCGCTGCTGAATCAAATGTACGCCAGTTACCAATGTACAGGTGGTAAACCACCTAGTTTTCTCACCAACATTTATACTGAAGCTACTTTGCTGACATGCTCCTATGCAGTGCAGATGCTGTTGACAGGTAACCGAAAAGAAGAGCAAAAAACAAAAAAAAAAAAACGACTTTATAATGACCTCTATTTTCGCATCAAAGGTATTACCCTTTTGTTCAGCCAGAAGGAGAAATAAATACAATTATGTACAAATGTACTACGTCAGCATACCCATTTCGCCCCTCAATTCTTCACGTCTCTCCTACTTCTTCCATTCCTTTTTCCTGTTTTTATTATATTCTTCGTTTGACCTCTCAACTCCCCCTTTTTATATGTTGCTCAAACGTTCCTTCTTGTAACGTCACAAAAAACTTTAGTTATATACGATATACTTGGGCTATTGTGAAAGACGTAAGAAAGCCAATAAATCTAGCAAAATGAAGTCGAAATACTGCTAAACCAGTTACTTCAGTAGTTTAGCGATAGAACAGTATCCGAAAAAAAAATGCTATAAGCTTGGCGTTCCATTTAAAGCTTAAGTTTTGCTTAACACTACATGATAATAGAAGAGCAATTTCTAGACAAATGCAGAAGATTGTTGTTTTAGTAAGTAACGAGTAGTTTTTTGTTACTGTAAATACGGTCATTGAAGAAGCCAAAAAAAAAGTCGCTTGTAAATTGACAATCCGACAAAGTAGGTCAGTTCAATACCATATAAATGATAAACGTTAACTTCTTTCCTGCTTCCCTTTCCCTCCAGCCAGTTTCTGATCTTTAGTGCATCATAGAACCGCTAAATTAGCATAATTTTTCAAGTTTTACTCAAATAACTGCGTAAAATGTTCACCATAATTTAGACCGAATAAATTTGACATGTTCAAAAGTATTTAAAAAAAAAACAAAAAAATTAATTTTTTTTTAAAATTATTCCGGTTTTAAGCATAAAAAAGAACAAATGATACCTTTCTCGTGGTATATGCATTGATCTTGTTAAACTTGGAAATTTAGTTTAACATTGATGAGCCACCGCCATCAAAATTTCGATCGACACTATATTGCAAAATGAAAAAAAAAAA